TCTGCTTGAAGATGGTTGCAAACGCAATGCGCAAAGCATCCTTGCAAGATTGCACTGACACTTGCAGCTCTGGTTCTTCTTAGCTTTTTTGTAGAGCTGTCCAGCTGGACAACAATCTGACGGCATTGGTTGTAAGTATTACACACAGCGTTAGATAGACTATTTTTCCTTTTCAGACTCTTACTGCTTTAAGCGGCAATGCTCTCTTTGCTGCAGCCCCCTGGTTCCTTGTAAATGTTCATAACTTGTTTTAGTAGGGAATAGGGTATTTATCCTACATAAACCCTCAATCCCCATAAAACATGTTCCTTCATTTCCTACTGAGAACCAGTACGACAAGGTAGCAGAGTGGGCCTACTTGGAGGGTCATGGGGACTTAGTAAGTAGGTGAATGATGGGGATAATCGGGGTTATTATGTGACTTATAGGTGTTATTTACCTACTTACTGAGTCCCCATGACCTAAACCCTAAACCCTACCTACTATAACCCTACTTACTAAGTCCCCATGACCCTCCAAGTAATTTGAGAAATCCCACCAGTCATGGGATCCTGAGCCAAACCTCTCCGAAGGATCCCCCTCAAGTTGGGTCAATGGCGATTCTTTGGGAGCTACCATAGGTAAAATTAGGGTTCTATTGGGGTTATATAGGGATAACGGAGAAGAAATGGAAACTACTATCATATATTGGGCCTATACGGGGTTTCCCAAGAGTATGTGTACCATTTTGAGGGTCCCAAGAATATACTAAAGAATATGGTATTTTGGGTTCATATTGGGTCACCCTGTTCGCGGAAACTACCATCTTCTCCCTGTTGGGCTTTATTTGCGCTTGTTTATGCTTGGAAGTTTCTAAAGGAGCGTTGGAAGAAAACCTAGCTCCACGGCAACCAAGGACCGTAAGTCTTCCTACAGCGCTGGTGTTTGTTATCAGTTCTTGCTGCGGCAACTCAGTGGGGCGAGCAATTTGCCTTGATGCACGCAACCTCTCCGAACCCTAAACATTCAAATCCAATTGTTTTTTCTTAATCCTGAGCCCTATTGCCCTGAACTTGAAATCCTAAACCTTGCAGGCAGCTGTTTCAGCTCCCAAGAAACAAATGGAAAAAGGGCTAGCAAGCGCCATGCCGACGCTTGCAAATTCTCCTGTTTCTGTCAAAGTTCGCAATGCACCTCGGCACTTTATTTATAGACGGAAGCGTGGTGGCCCTCATCCAGAAGTAGGCGCCGCAGCTGTGCAAGTCCTATGCCCAAGAGTTTGGGGACGCATTGTTGGCATCCATTTTTCGGCAACTCGCGTAGGTATTCGGACAGTCTGAATCACTGGGAGTCATATACCAGAGCCGAGGATGCTTCTGTTCAATATGTATTCTTATGGTACGGCAGCCTGGGCCAAAATCCCATGTACAGCATATTCAAGCAGCTGCTGCTCTCGCTCTCGGTCTCTCTCTCGCCCCCTCTCTCTCTCTTGTGCAGACCTCGCTTTACGGATAACGCATAGAATGCCTTTCGTCTTTCTGATCGGCGACCCGTGATCCCATAAGTTGAGATGTGGCGAATCGCATCCGTTTGGCGGTAGAGGACCCACCGAAGGGGCTTTTCACTGGCAGTACCTGTTTGAGAAGTGGGAAGGAGTGGATTACGAGAGGTTCTGTTTCAGCAGAGTTCCTGCTTTTTTGCCAGGGCCATGTTCCTAATGCCAAACGAATGCAAAGCAGCGCACTTATCTACTTGGGAAACGGGCGGTTGAAACCCTTGGTCTTCACTATACCATAATATAGTATTATATAGGTTAATATAGCATATCATATTATAATATCTAATAGTATAATATACTAAAAAAGGAGGTGTGAAGATGGGGTATAGCCTGCAAGCTCTAAGGCTACGATAGCGGATCGATGAAACCATGTGGGCTAGAGTCTAAACTCCTGAAAGGGGGTTACTTATATGGGGGATTATAGAGGGAGCATTACAGGGGTTATTCAGGGGCGTACTAGAAGTTTAGACTATAGCTCATGTACTGAGCAGGCATGAACTTCTTTTGGGCGGGTGCGCCGGCTGAATGCGCGCTGGCTAGCTAAGATTGTCATTTTAGCTTTATGCTGGGCTTCAAGCCTCAAACCAATCCCCGAAAACAAGGAAGACTCAGGAAGACCTCAAGTTTTGCCACTCTCTGCTGGCTCTCAGGTAGTTATTCTCGTACGGGCCTCAGGCATGGGGATGTCCTTATTAGCAGCTTTCGCAATGGTCTCGTCGCGAAGGTCCGAGAAAGGCAGCAAAGTAGAGGGTAGCCATAGCCAGTTCTTCCAAGCCACAAAATTCCCAGTGCTAGGTTTCCTTACATATCACTTCCTGGGATAGATTCCGGCGTTACAGGTGTGTGTGTGTGTGTGTGTGCGGATATCTTCGGGCGTTGAAGAACTGTTGCTGGGTGTTCCAGGGTTGGAAGTTAATGCGGGGATAGAAGGGTTCCAGTATGAGAACACGGTACAAGTTAGAATGTACCATGAACATGGAACGTAACGTATGGTATTCTAATACCAGCAGCGGGCATCCATAGCTATAAGAAGAGTAGGAGGATCAACTTGAAACACAAGCCTATTGATGGTCATGCTTGTGCCATTGGTGCAATCACTTCAACACCATAAACCAAATGACCATGATGGCATGTTGCGACAGCAAACTTGCGAACAAGGAGCGCTGGAACGTAATGATTCTTCGCAAGGATCCATCCTGTTTGGAAGGCGCCCCCATTCAGCATCCAGAAAAAATCCATGAAAGGAATAGTGCCCTGTTACCCTTCGGACTCTTAGTATCAAACAGTCTGTCAAGTTTCGGCAAGAACGGGTGTCGTACTGCGGGCTACTAGGGAATAGGGAGAATATCATATAGGGACTACATAGGGATCATATTCGCTTATTCCCTCCGATTATTAATGTTATTTCTGTTATCACTATTATTAGTACTCAACTACTGTTACCATTGTTACTACTATTATCATTCTGATTATTACGACTATTACTATTCTTAGTCTTGTAATTGTCATCACTTTATTACTCGTATTAACATTATTGTTATTATTGTCAAGCTCAGGCCTGCGCCATAGATGCAGCTGACAAGGCCTCGCTGGGCCTTGTGGGACGTTTCCCTCTGGGGCTTCGAAAAATGCGCCGCCAAAAAGCAATTGCTGCATACTTACTGGGTAAAATAACAGTAATAAAAAGAAACAGGAGTAAGACAAAAGTAAGAATGGAAACAATAGGACTGAACAAGGGAATACAATCCCGATATAGTCCCTATGTAATGTATTCCTTTGTTCCCTTCGCTTACTCCCTACTAAACACCAGAAAAGGGACTGTGGAAGGGATGTACGTAGTGCAGATTCCACCAGCACAGAAGGTCCGATAAATAGATTAGACTGTGAGAATGAGGCTTTGTGTAGTGAACCTGTAAATCTGCCAAATAGTGTGGATCCATCATGAAGCAAGAGGGACTCCAAAGTTTGCGAGACCGCCCCGCTGGAGTGGAACAACTCCAGAAGCGCATCCGGGCAACCTAAGCTCGGCCTATTTCACTGAGTGGGGTGAAGGAGTGAAGAGCAGTAGGTGGGAGCAGCACCTTCAACGGCTTCTATGGGTACATCCAGAAATTAACCTTGCTTTTGTTTTTGAATCTTTGAATGTTTTTCATGGTGCATAACTGCGTGTGACACGGCACAATCCGCCAAGTGTTCACAGCATGTTGGGAACAGCATACATATGGTTGGATTCATGTAAAGCCCTTGCAAACGTGTGGGGGGAGGGGGGGGGCGGGTCCTACGCCCAAAGCTCAACTTCTGAGCTGTCAAGTTGAATGTCCAAGTCCTAGGATCCCAACCTCAAGCCCCCCAACACACATCAACGAAAGCAACAAGACCAATGGAACCTAAACGCTGCTGCCATTTTCAGGCCCTCCTCCCGGCCACTTTTGGTGCTTTAGCGGAGCAGCTCCAGGCAGGTTTGGAAGTCTCAGAGCATAAGAAACGACAAAAAGGCTTACGTGGGGTGTAGAGCATAGGGTGTGGAGATGTGACCGAGGTGTTGTGTTGAAAAATATGTCCCTTCAGCCAGTACGGGCTCCCTCATGTTTTACAGTGGGGAGACGGCGAGGTGACGGTTTTGGGTACGTCGTCTCAGCGAACTTGATAATCCCGTGATACTTGTGCAGTTTGGGTGGCGAGTGGGGGGACGTGGAGGATTTGAACAACCATTTCAAGACAGTAATAAGAAGCCATGTGCAGGTTGCCGTCAAAGGTCACGACAGAGTTCAACTCGCATTCCAAAATCCCCGTGGCGGAGCTGGAAAGACTTCCTTTTCCCCGAAGCCAACCGCAATTCATGCTTCCATCAGTCACATCCCTAAATCTCGCAACCCTGAATTCCAACAGGTGGGACCCACCCAGCTGGGCATGCTCAACTTCGCTCAGAGTCTTGGCTGCATCAACCTGCCAACCCAAAGGATGTGTGGTTACTAGAGGAACGGACCCGTAATAGTTTTGATATACTCCCCAATAGCACTTCCGCCCCAGCGCAGACATCTTTGGCGCTTGATTTCCTTCCTCAGCTCCGGACCCGCAAACAAGCCCATCTCAGTTTTACGTTCCCATGCCTTGCAAGCTCCTAAGATATCCCACGACCATCTACGTGGGTCAGGAAGTATAAGCTGAACCCTCCTACCACCACCTCTACAAAGGTTACAAGGATAAGGAGGGGTTTCTTGAAATTTAGCATTAGCTGGTTCATCGGGGCTGAAGTGCGACAAGTTGGACACGATTGTGTGCTAAGTGTGTTAAGGGCAAAGGGGTTCAACTCCTCGACTCTAGATATAGTGTACAAACGTTACTGCTACAAGCTTCAGACCCTTGAATGGAATTTGAACTTGTGGTAGCGACACATGGAACTTATGGATTCTCGACTATCAGGAGCATTGCCTTCTCCTTGGCTCTCCCTCTGTGGGGCTCTATGATGCAGCTCTACACGTCGCGCGACCTTCTGGCCTGCGGCTTCTCGGTACGGATTGAAAGATCTGACAGAGGTCTTAAATTGGGCAGTCATCTGGAGTCAGGTTCCCACTGCTTTCCTTCCTGAATGACGACCAATCCATACTGAAACAAGGCTTGGCAGCAGGATCCCAGAAAAACATTTTTGTGCAACTCAGGCTGCTTCCTGTGGGGCGCGGTCACGTTCATGATCGCCACAAGCAGCTTGGATCTTCGAAAAGGTTGTGCCGTTGAGCTTGACCACGTTTGAAGATTATGGACCGACCTTCCCGGGCTCTAGGGTCATGTAGGGTCACAATCCCCTGGCTTACCAGATTAGATGAAGCATGGAAAGCAATGACTATGCACAGATTGCACAGGTTCCAACTACGTCGTGCATCTGTTGCTGCGGCTAGTCATGGGGGCTGCCTTGGCAGACGCTCGTCCGAAGAATTTATTAATATCAACAGTTACTGATATGCAGCTACAGCACTCTGTACATCGGAGACTAGGCATTGGATTGAAAAGCAGATGGGCCGGGCGCGTTTTCTCCTTCACCATCCAACTGCATGTAGATGGAAGCACTAGCGGCCAGCAGATGCTGGTCTTGATACTTACGTGCCTTTGGTCGTGATTCCTGTCCATTGCTTTTGGAATTTGGTTGGCATTGGCGGGTGCAGAGTGTTAGGGACAGGGGTAGCGATGGAGGAGGGGGCGGTGATGGTCGTGGTGTTGGTGGCGGTGGCGGTGGCAGCGTCAGCAAGGCGACAGTAGCTGCGGTCGCGTTCGCAATTGGGTGATGAGTCGTCATTGGTCTTGCCCGTACTGTTGCGATCAGTTGCAGCTGCTGTTGAGGAAGAGGAGCATTATCAGGCATGTAGAAGAAGCCTGAACGTTTAGGAAGATTGCTCCTCAAAGTCGTTTCATGAGTATAGGCCTTAGGCGATTGGCTGTATGCATGGCAACCATGCTAGAACCGTTGAGGGCATGGGATGATTCAGTAGTTATATGCAAAATGAGGCAGACACACCCCATGCGCGCTTACAATGCCTGCGAAAGGAAAGTAACGTAGAAGTTCGAATCCTGCCGAGAAATATCTCAGTAACTTCTTGATCTACTTTCAGAAGAGCACCCCCAAGCCTACTCCAATTCTTTAGGCTCCTGCAGAGTCAGCTCTGAGGTTGTGGCGCCTATTGGCCAGGCAATGCTTTGCGATCTCGTCCCTGAAGCCGAGCGCGGCTGGGTCTTCGGAGTGTTGCAGTCTGTTTCTACTCTGCTGAGCCTTCGCTTGAAATGGGATTGGGGCTTCGCGGCCTGGTGTCCTTCATGAAGTGGCATGTCGAAATAAGCGCAGTAAGCATTTCCTCCTAGGTACGGGGGTGTTGCAAAATCCACGTGAAAGGAGCGTTGGCGTGACCTTCATCACCACAGGCTTTGCAAGGGCGATTGTCGCTGGGGTGCATGGCTGGCGAGCCTCGGGTGCAGGGTTGAAGGTTTGGGCTTACCCAGAGTGATTGGAATTAACTTATCCTCTAGCGTGCCCCAGACTTCGATACCCAACAATGGTGAAAACAATTTCGTGTACATCAACATGTTCATGCATTTCCGACTTTATGCGGCGAATGGTTGCTCGCTTGGCACGATGGCACTTCTTCCATGGCATACGGATTCTACTGAGACCTGTAGTGTCTTCATATTTGCAGAGTTTCTGCCCAGGATACATCTATGCTGCTGTTGGCCTAATCTCGCTGCTGACCGTGGCTGGGATGCCGATAGAATCTAATGCCAGTGGAGCCTTCGCGATGGCCACATTCACTGGCCCTGACGCTTTCCAAGCTGGAGGGAGAGAAGCCGTATCCTTATCCTACCAGGTCAGAGCGATGATGCCAGCCAAATTCCTCCAGTTCGTGAGATCATACATTGTAAGAAGACTGTTTTCAGGCGGCATCGGCACGACATCTTGACTCAAAACGCAAAGTTTCCTGTGGATAACCAGGGCTCCCTTTATGCGGTCAGTGAAAGCCCTTTGTGAGACAGTGACATGGCTTTTTGGAGGGAAATAGATGACCCATGATGACCCTTCAGGCTCACAGATGCATAGTTGTGTCTGGAACCGTCGAGCATTTTTTTCTGAAACCGGAGAACACTGGCAAGACTTGCGAGAGTCTCAACCGCTCAGCTAGCTACTAGCGTTAAGTCCGAAAGAACCTGCCAAGGTAATCTCAAAGAAGACCTCCAGACCTCGAACCCGCATTCCCAAATCGTCACAGGTTACAAAGAGCCCAGATGAGTAGCTATCACATTTGTCGCATCCTTTTGGGGACGCCGCGGATGCAAGTGTCCCTGCTTCAGCGACCTCCATCTTGGGGGGCCTAAGCCTGAACCTGTAACCCTCAACCCCCTAACCATGTAGACCTAAATCCTCAACAAGGTGGTGGCCATTCTTAGGGTCATCCCCGCAACCCTCGCCTCTCCGAGCATGGGGCGGAAGGGACGCTCCTGGTGGGAGGAACAGGCAGGAGAGGGAAGAGGATTGCGCAGATCATGCATCCATTTCTAGTTTTCGAAGCAGCGGAACAGGGATGCTTTGTCAAAGACTCCCTGGAAGGCACTTTGGGCTCAATTCTTTGGTGCAGGGATGGAGGGTCCTGAGAGCAGGGGTCCTAAGCATCTCAGGATCTTTATTCAGCTATTGCGCAATCCGGCACAGCTGTACAGAAGGAGTCATTTTTGGCCAACAGGCCAGTACTCGGCACTGCATCAAGAGTGCAAGAACAAGACCCATCCCCACTGGAGCCTCACTGTGACTTGTAGCTGTAGTAGGGTAGACACTTCCCGTCTGCACATCTGGTGCAACAGGAACAGTTGGCTCTTGAAACCAGCGGCTTGTCAGTCCCTTGAACAAGCTCTTTCTCTAATCGCCTCTACACAATACATGCTGCAGAGATTTGCTTTCCCGGCCCGCGCGGGCAGGAGTGCTAGGCAAAGACCCCACAGAGCATGCCAATGAAAGGAACCCTGGGACTAAGGCTTAGCTGCGATCTTGTTTCAAGGTGGAACGGAGCAATTTTGACATGTATGCTTCAGAGTGAGCAGGCTTGAAGCAGTCTTAGCGCATTCGCCGCAGAAGGGGAGCCTCATGCCTCTTCATAAATATCATGCTTGCTACAGTTGCAGCCCTTTGTTGGGGGCTATTGCAGCATGATGGCTCCTGCCGGACTCGCACTCGACCAGGTACGCGTGGTGCAGCTGGTGTTACAAAAGCCATCATTCACCATCATGGTGTCTCAAGGCTGGAGTCCGATTCGGAAAATCTGCCAAGATATTGTCTGTCGGATGCCTTTTTTGATCCCCGTGCCCCGAACCCTAGACCATCGCCTCCAAGCAGTCCTGCACTTCGGGTCCTTGCGTTTTGCCTGTCCGACTTCACAGCTTTTGCCTGCAAGGTGTCACCGGCGGAATTCCTTGGAATGGCTTCGCCTTTCTCCCGCTCTATTTTCAGTTGAGCGGATTTAGCGACCTCCGATCTGGTGAGATAATGCTGTACGGAGGACGGAGGGAATGGGAAGCTCGGTGATAGGAAAAGCAATATTGGATGTCTTGGCCATGCCCTACACGGCTGGCATTGCTTTGCCTTGTGGGTCCCACTCAGCGCAGGCCTTGGCGGAATGTTCGGCGGTGTTTTCGGTGGCTGGCTGGGTGACCGCTTGAACCGCGTCTGGCCCTACGGGGGACGCTGCGCTGTGGCGCAGCTGTCGGTTGTCCTGGGAACGCTTTTCTTCGTGGCCGCGCCGTGTCCAAGAAATCTGGAAGTTTGTGGCGCAAATGTTCAAATTGGGAGATCGTAATTAGATGTAGGGATGGCCACCGTGATCCCAGTAGCTACTTGAGTCAACTTATCCTCCGCTGCCCAAACCTAGCGTTGGCTGAGGGACTTGTCTTGAGTCCATATGTTACTCTCCAACACGTTGAGCTCGAAGCTTTGCGTACTGGCAGTGCAGGGCCAGAGTCTTTGCTAGCTGAGTAGGTTGACGTGACACTGTTTATTTTTGAGGCAGTGAACCGTCCAGCCCTGGACAGCTTGTTTTGCGGCAGTATTCCGCTGTAACTGTTACTTTCTTACCCGAGCAACATGCCACAATCCATTCAACCTGAGTCTCATAAACAGCTGAGCATAGAATATGTAGAATAAGGGCGTTTTGCTTGAGCCAGATGAATGACGGCGGCTCATTCAAGTCGAGTTTGCTATGCGTTAAGGCTCCGCGGTCTGAAGCCCCTTCGCAACTATGCATTCTCCGAGGCTCAAGGATTTTGCATAAACCACGAACTCCAAGCTATCTGCCCTTCAACGTTCTAGCTCTGAATTGCTCCGCCTCATATTTGGGAAGGTGTTTGTGTAGAGGACCATAAGAATTGAGGCTCCTATAGGTGCGAGGCTTCCTTTCCTATCAGCCAAGGTGATGGTCAGCCCTGCCAATTTCCTGCTGGTGGTAGGATTTTACTTCGCCTTCCACGTCACCTCGTGCTGGACTCCTGAAAGCACTTGAGTTGATGGCTTAGCGTTTCATTCTTTTAAGGTTCGGACATTTATGGACAAGCATTGCGGTCGAGCTGGCAGTAGTCACATTGGGTTCATCTACCGGTGGCCAGCCCGATGCCAGGACGCCTGCAGCTGCTTTGAGGCCGATCTGCGGCGAGATTGTACCGTGGGCTACAAGAAGTCTGGCTTTGTCTGTCATGTGGGCAGAGGTGTCGGGCCTTTGGAGTTTCTGGAGTTTAGTTTCCAAGCAAGTAATGGGCGTGGTCCACTGCTTTGTTTGCTGCGTCGAGTCTGCAGCAACGGAGTTGGATTCCTGGCACTCAGTACTTTATGAAGGAAGGTCAGTCTGCGTGTTGACAGGGATGGCGAGCTGAATAAGAGTTCGCCTCACTCCAGATACATACAAGAAGTCTCTGCGCGAGAACCTGAAACCTCTGCTGCCAGCTGCAGGACAGCAGCGACATCACTCCCGGAAATAACAGGATGTCCAAAGCTGTCTGGAAGACTCCCTAGTGTGCAGTGGACCGGGGACCAACAGTACCAACAGTCCACGCCTTCACCTTGGCTGGCTTGGCCAAGGCCCATAAAACTTAACCCCTAAATCCTGGGACACTAGAGCTGTTCTGAACACGAGGTGCGCAGTGACTTTTCGAAATCATGACCTTGACTGCCAAAGTACCAGACCTTTGCCCTCAAGTAGAAAACTAAGGGCCCTTTGTCGGTTCCTGGTATCATAGGGTCCGCTTGTCAGATGACCCATGATGACGTTCACTTCCGGGACCATAATCCAGGCAAATTGCCCCATCCTCCAGCCTGCAAGCCAGGTAAGAGACAGTCACGATAGAGCGCAGATCTTGGCTCTGTGGCGCCTCGGAGAGATTCAAAATTACGACACCCAAACTCTACAGAATCCTTTCCTCGTCCAAGCCCCTCAACATGTTCCAAAACAGATCTCAGAAAAGCAGACCCCCAAACACTAAGCTCCAAGCCGAAAAAACCAGAACCTGAGCCCCAATACGAAAACGAGTTTCAAATCCCTTTCAGAGGCCGAAGCACCGTCATCCCCCAAATCCCCACTGAGGATTGCACTGGAGGGCATCATCTCCTCTTTCCTTGGAGCGCCTCTGGTAGGTATCGTCTCGGAGGCACGCGGGGGCTAAGGGTGGGCTATCGAGTTGCACGGCTTGGATTTCTTTTTCAGACTTTTGGGTTTAGATTTTGGGACCACTGGGATTCTATCAGTGCTCAGAGGCCTTCAGCAACGCAGTTGTGGGGCCTAGGCTTGCAAATCGTTAGCCTCAACCCAAGAGCTGAAAAGCAGCATATCTATATCTTGGATCTCGCAGGCATTTATTTACCTGAAGCCTGAAAAAATCCCACACCTTCACCTAACGGATCCTAACGGAATTGTTACAATGCAAGAAGATGAGGGTTATCAGTTGCACCGAGGAGTATAGGGTTGTTAGGGATCCTTCAAAGGATTCTTGTAAGCCATAGTATAAGCTCCTTAAAGGGGGTTATCTATGGGATTGTATTAATATAGAGTACTGTAGGGGTTACTAAGGGGGATACTAGGAGTTCAGGCAAGGGTTCTTGTATCGCCTTCAAGCCCGTTTTTGAGGCCTTCGGCTGCAGATTGGTGGGTACGGGCTCGGACTTGCCGCTGGACCTTGTTCAATCAAACGAAAAGGTTTTTTAAGGCTGATTGCAATGGGGTCTCATTTTACATTCAACGGAATTGAGGTTTCAGGGGTCTGGGTTCTTGTAACACAGCCGGGGCCTGTTTGTTTTCCCATGGGCCATGCAATCCTTTGGGGCTGCTCTTGTTGTCTTTTGAAGCTCGTACCTTGACTGGAATGTCGCTGACTGATGTAATAGTACTAGCAATAATAGTAATGATAATAGTAATAGTAACAATAGTAACAATAGGAACAATAGTAACAATAGTAACAATAGTAGCAGTAGTAACAATAGTAACAATAGTAACGGAGCTCCGAGGCTGAAGTCTCCGAGCGAGGAGTCCGTTCCCGCGCTTCGCTCTGTGCCTCTGGCAAGATGAACTTGGGTTCGTAGGAGGATCTATGGCCTAGGGCTTCAGGTTTACTGCCCCCCTTTGGCTTGAAAGGTTCAGGTTTGGTTTTGCTTACGTGTGTTATTTGATTCGATTCTTTTTTTGCGTATTCAGGTTTGTAGGGCAGAAGAAAACGAATGGTTGCACACTCCTTGCTGCTGCTGTTGCTGCTGCAACATACAATAGCACCAGCACCTTTCCCGGGCAAGTTTGGTTCTGACAGGCACCTAAGCCCAGACGCTCCGGGCGCAGCAGCTGCAAAGCCAATCCAAAACCAACATGTCCTAAGCTAAAGCCACGCTTCTGCGTCATTCCTCGGCAGGTTATCCCGCCCCCTACAGCTACTTTGGCTTGAAGGGGGGGGGGGCGACAGGAAAGTTCCCAAGCCGATCTCTGCAGAATCCCCGACCAAACAATCTTTAAACACATGTCCCTTGCAAGCCCATCTTACAGTCCCTGAGGGCACCTCTGTTCTCAGAAAGCAAGTCGAAGTCTGCAATGTTCCTACATCATCACTTCTACAACGCTTAATATCTCAGCAAAGGTTGCTCTAATTCCTCATGCAAACCCAGGCTTTGCTTGGCGTAGCGCTGATCCCCTGGATTCTCTGTGGACTAGCCTGGTTCCCGATGCACCGCGGACTAGCGCTGAGGAGTTTGGGTCTATGCATGCAGGGTTGGGGGTTCGGGGACCGTCGGTCGCGAATTCTTGGGGAGCTTTTTGCAGTTAAGACTTCTTGGAGCAAGGATTTAGGCTTTGGATTTGATGATTTGGGATTTAGTGTCTTGTGCAGACAAGAAAGCCTTTTGATCCTCAACGTACAAGAAGCAACCCTTGTGCTTCGTCTACAAACAACTATGGGTCGCCCGACATACGCTCCCCAAGGGTAGGAAATTTTACAAATGCCTTGGTGAGGACCGCCAATTTAGACTTGCAGTATAGACATGTACTGATACCTTCATAGCCACATTAAATGTTTCCCCAAACACGTATGCCTCATATTAGGTAGCTCACACCTATAACAACGGCAGCTGCACGCTTCTCCCTCAGAGTCTGTAAACAAATTTTGTTTGATGTTGGTTCCTTTTGGGCGGGGACTGATCTATTCTGATGTACATAGGATGACTGAAATCTGGAATGGAGGACTGTCAGCCAGTAAATTGTTTGCGGCCTCTTTGGAACTGTCGCAGATTTTAAGCCCAGGAATAATACGAATAGTAATGAGAATAGTAGTAATAGTCATAGAACAATAAGCATATTGGTAATAGTGGGAATCATATAGAATTTAATAGAAATAATGATAGTAATGACTAACAGTGAAAATACTTGTAGGGAAATAGTAATGATAGCCTGCCATATGGAGCGGAATTAGATTTGGAGTCAGTCCATGCGTTTGCCTATAAGGTACTGGACGTATCCGCGAGATGCAGGCGTTCAGGGCCGCAATGGAATGTCTCCGACAACGTATGGGAACAGTGGCTGGGATTCATTCATCCGAAGTAAGTGAACATAAGCCCTATCATAGGGGCCCTTAGAATTGCCTCGAGATCCTCTGCTTGCTTTCCGGTGGAGTATGAGGGAGCGGGTTCCATGATTGATAGCTGTATGCCGCACGTTTTCGTCAGCGATCGCTGATACGGATGCCCAGAAGCCCTGTACCCAAGTATGACAAACGACCATAAAGCCTTTGGAAGAATATTATAGGTTGTAACTTTGACACATACGCACATCTGCGTTCTGCGTTCAAGCACCAGATCCTTTCACCGTAGAATCCTGCTTCATCATGGGTAGTTGTAAGTGAGTGCTAAATATGCCGGACACATGTCTGATTTATGGTTAGCCCAGGGACACGCCTTCATCACAATCCACGAGCCTTGAAGGGCTCCCCAGGGCAGAGCATCCCTTGTCCCTGGCCCCTTGAATCATATCATCCAGATTGCCTGGACCCCTCCCCAGTGGCATCATTTGAATGACAAGCACTTTCTGCCCGCGAATGCTACATGCCATGTTTTTCTGCGAGAACCGAGAAACGGAATATACAAGAGTTCCCCTTCTCACAAGCGCGCAACCGTATATGCATCCTTGATTTACCTACCTGTGAGCCGTGCAAGGTGTTTCAGAGGTACGCCCGATTCGTGAAAAAGCTCTTCCAGCAGAGTGAGAGATGCTAGATCAACTCGAGCTGGCGATTTAATTGCCAGGCAAAGGCCGAGTTTCTGCAAGGGCTTGCTTGCGTGCTCACGTGCAGTGGGTATTGTTCGCCGTTGCAGCCCTAGACTCTATATCCAGCATTTCAGGGAACCGTGACGGCTCGACCCCAAACCGTTGGATGAGAGGATGCTGTTTACAATGGATGCTGGGGCCTTCCAGTAACAAGTCACTTGAACGGCCTTCGATAGTTTCAGCAAGAAGCTGCCGATGTAGGCCCCAGCCACTTTCCTTGTCTGAAAAGAGCTGAAGCATACGACTTTCGCTGATCGCGCTGCTCCTGACCATGAGGTCCAGGCACATCATGATAATCGTGAAGGTAGGCTAGTGGGGTAGAGAGCATAGAGCCGTGGCTGCAAGTGCCCATGGACCTCGAACAATTTGATTGCTGCAAAGGAAAATTGCAGGTCACTGTGCTACGGAGAGCTCGATTAGGATCATTATCCCTCTTAAGTCAATTATTCTGGTCCGGGTCCAATATGCCCCAAAAGTCCCTTCTAATTGTTTACAGAGGGAGCTAAACTCTGGTTGCCGACATGGGTATTTCCGAACAGAGAGGGAGCTCTCGTGCACGGACCCTAGACTAGAGACAATTGGGATTATATGGTGCAACTATGAAGGACTGTATAGAGGTAAAATGACTTAGGGCGCAAGGCTGAGCATTTTGGCTGGAGATTTGGGGTGTAACATGTGGAGTTCATGATGTATGGATTCGGACCCTATACTATCAACCCATGAAGTGGTACTGTAGGTGACCTACTGCACGTACGGATGTCCCCAATGAAGAATCCATGGTGTGGTACTTTACATTTTGCGGACATGCAAAATCGAGGAGTGAGGTCGTGTTTCGATTTTTTTTGCCAACGAGCCAAGAATGGCTTCTGAATCCTCAGGGTGGATATTCCAGAGGATCTAGACGTAGGCTCCCGTTTGAAACCCTCAAGCTAGAGTAGAGAGCGCATGTTCATGCAAGTGCGGAGCTTCAAATCTGGTCTCCTGTTTGAACGTCTTTTGCAGGGATCTTTCCGTTGAAAGACAAGAATTGTGAAACTCGAGGGAGCCCTAACAAAGTTGGGACTTCTTGGGAATTCGGCCCATCGACAGGCCAAACAATGACCTTCAGGGAGATCTGGGCCCTTGTACGATGTGAAGAAGGATACTGATACTGTGTATGGGGGAAATCTAGCACCACCTTATGTGCCTTAAATACTTTGCACCCTAGTATTGCAGTACTTTGGGAAACCCAGAGCCATGCATCCTCGTGTAGGGGTCCTGAAAATTCGAAACTACGACGAAACCGTATTTTGGGCTCGACAGTGGGATCCCATAGTTTCGTAGAATCGCCCTACAGGCCTACTTGTAGCTGTCATGGGCTGACTGAATTAAGCCCGTCTACCCTGACATTCTTAACAGAAAGTCTTGCCCGAATGCTACAGAAGGTCTTTGCATAGCTTTGTATGTCGGCAGCAGAGGGGTTGGAATGCCTGATCCCCAAGCTCCTACTGTAGCCAAGCGATTCGGCATGGAAATCAGGGTCCTTGTTTCAGGAGGTGTAAATGCCATGGGGAGGAAGGCTCAGGTGATGATGTGCAGGGCCCCAAGTCCCAAACCCTGAGTTCTCCCAAGACTCACAAAACATTGGTTGAGGCATTCGTGAAAGTTGAAGACAAGACTCTACTGAAGAGGCAGGTCCTGTGCCTCTGATCTGTTCAGAGAAGGACAGACAGTGGGGCTCTCTAGAAGATGGATTTTTCAGGAAATGGGTGATCGCTTCTTGGATCTGTTGTTTCGCTCCTTGCGAGGCTACCACGTAACTTCTACTCTTGTATAGTATGTTTTCCCGTCATTTTTCTGAAGGCATGAGTGAGATGCTGGACATGCATGTCATGTCTACATTGAACGAGTTCGACGGATGGGGTTGGAGGTGATGTCCTTTCGCAGCCTGAAGAGGGAAGGGCTGAAACTTCTGCAGTCGATGTAGCCACTGGTATGGTCTAAGTTTTTCAGGCTTAGGCTAGACAATAGGCTAAGTAGGGCTTTTCTCTTCCTGGACTCCGGAGCTAAGGCTGCTTACTGGGGGCTTCGTGCGGAGTAAGGGAATATGTTGTATTCCCTTATTCCCGACTATTGCTATTATTGTTATCATTATATTCTTCTTCTTCCTCCTACTACTACTACTACTACTATTACTATTGGTACAATTCTTTTTCCCTACTAACCCCCAATAAGGTTGTGTTTGCAGTAGCTGCCTCCGGCCAGGTTCCAGGCACTTCTCGACAAGACGTGCCTCGGCATGAATTGAGTAGTAGTCCATTTGGGGATGTTATGGTACCCAATATAACAGAGTAAGATTACAGTAGTTTATGGGGATACTATGGTACCCAGTTTATAGCATAAGATCATATCCTCCTCGTGGGGTACCCCACGAGTATTTTATAGAAGGAATATCATCTTACCAGGTCCAGAATCGTAGACCCTGGGCATTTTGGCACACTGGTGTATATCGAAGGCAAGGAAAATTTTGGCTAAGCTTCTGGCAAGTCACGCTGTTCCCATGCTCGCAACAGATAGGCAACTTTCCGTTGGGAATTCATCATTGGCCCTTTGTACGAGTGCTGCTGTATTGGCAAGTTTCCGAACTCAACTTTGGAAGCATACAGGGATTGATCGCTTCAAACATGGAGTTGTGACCATGCCTCAAATAGTACCTGCTAATATAAACACTTTAGGCCGTTATGAGACTACAATGAATGCCACATCAGAGCCTAAGGAAAGTACAGGGAGGCAGCAGCTGATTTTCAACAAGGGTAGATCAACATCATGCAGTTTTGCATGCAGGCAGTCTTGGTATACTTGGCCGTGATTTGGGGTACCCTAATTCGAAGGCGTTACCACATTGCCGTGCAGATTTTGACTCCGAACTATATAATCAGATGCAGAGACTAGATCTCAGATTCAGCGTGACAGTCCTCCTGAGGTAGGCGGCGCATTGGGATTCAGAGTTTAGTGTTTGGGGGTTGAGCATGTAGACTAGTGTAGGCAGGCTGTTAGCATTCTCAAAAAAATGGTGGGATGCGTCCTGGATCACGTCATGTTAAATGAGATCTAGTAGCATGTCATCCTTGCCCTTGTTGTGGGGGGGGGGGGGGGNNTGTTGGTATGGTGCTATTCTGCTTGGGCGTATGAAGCTTTGTTTTTGATGGTTCTGTTTCTGTGGAGTTGGCCAGTCTTGCGCCAAATAGTCGGGGCTCCATACTTGACTGTGCGGCGCTTCTTACATGCTGACATTAAGAGGCCCTAATGTAATGTAAAGTTGGGGCCAAATTTCCTGGTGTTGACTGGAAGCTTCGGCTTGATATTATATATGAGCTCTGTAATAAGAGCCACACAAGCTGAATCGCACCCCCCACCCCCCAGAAATCCAGCTTTGCTTCTGCCTCTGTAGGCACAAAAGCACCTGCAACTTCACGCGAGATAGAAACTGGGCCAGTGGCTTCTTGGCCGGCAAGGTCGTACTGTAATGTTGAAGAAGGACCTGGCTACCCTGATAAGAACCACCTGGGGAAGAGGATCTTATTTGTAATCAGAAATGGCGTGGATCATGTTTCTAAAGATGGGGTTGAGGAAGATGGAAGTTGTGGTCTGGAGATGTCTGCAGTTGTGGTTCAGGGTTCAGACCAGTGAGTGGCAATGTGGGCTTGGGGCGCGGAATCACAGTTGGATAGACTGAGGTTCCTAATTTTCTTTCCTTGATGGAGATTGCACCATCCCTGGCAGTCTCGCAGGTGTCTTCGAAAACATGACGCCTGTACCAACTGGATATGAGCTGGCCACTTGAAAGCAAGGTGGGCAAAAAGCACAGGCTAAAATTAAAACATTGGTCACACTTTGAGGTGGGTTCAGGGTGGTACGTGGCGTTGCGCACTGAGAAGCATCCGACCGCTGTGCTGGGCTCGTTCTCCAAAAGGATGCAGTAGTTACCTCAGTTGTTGCAGTGGGACTGGGATGTGGGAACAGTACAATCAGGATAGCATGATTGCTTGCAATCTTTAGCAGGTTGTTTGTTGGAGGGGTATTGTTCCGGTATATATTGCTACCATCATTCGTTCACAATCGGTCCCTCCTTGGTCTACATGTGCCGCAGCAGGGCCTAGAAAATCAGAAAAAGCTCAGGAACTTTAATGCAGACCGTCAAAACGGTGCAGAAATGCAGCCAATTACAGTGTTGGGGGCTGGGAGGCGATGCAATGCAGCCATCAGTAGGCAGCAACAATGCAGCTAGTTACAGGGGTTTGGGGGTCCGAGGCGCAGCAAGCAGCCAATCAAATCGGAGCAAAACTGCAGCCAGTTGCAGGATTGAGGTGGTGGGCGCAGCAATGCAGCCAGGCGAAACCTACTAGTCGGCTCAAACTGCACCTACTACGGCGAAACCTGCTAGTTGCCTCAGCAGACATAACTTGCACGAATGCTTGATGAAAACACGAAGGCCCATCAATAGACCGACGCCAGAGCAATTCCCACGCTCCCGCTCAAAGGCCACTGACGGAAGTGAAGGAACAAATTGAGATTACACGAATGCTGGATGAAACCGATGGGTGTTCATGGTTGGTGATCAGTGTTGGTTCTTTGAGTGATTTGGCGAGTTTGCAGCATACTTTGTTACAAGAAGCTTAGCAGTGAACGAGCGATGGGATGTTAACAAAAATTATCCTCTAAACCCTATAGTAGTCTCCATTTTCTTTTCCATTATCCCTAATACTACCCCAATGGGTACCCCTAAACCCTAAACCCTATTTATCCTCACTAACGGGCTTTTCTATGCGCTCCCTCCTTTCCCAACTAGGCGCCTCGGAGTTTGCACAGCGCGGCAAGGGACCCTTTGGATAACCCTGACCTCGACCCATACATGCATTCAGGGATCAAGTAAGAATCTCTTGCCAGGCATGTTGTTCCCTAGTCCTAAACAGCGTGTCACCTGAGGCAGCAGCAGGATATGTCATGCAGTGGACAGGTCTGGTGTGGACAAGTGTTGGAGATTAAGGAGGCTTCTCTTTTTTATTCGGCCTTAGCTTTGTGGCTTTGTTTGGTGTCGATACCGCTTCAGTCTGAGATCTTAGTGATGTGTAGCCGGGCTATGTGCCCCAAACTTTAGGAATTGCCAGCCAAACATGGAGGTTAGGATTCAAGTTCAGGACGAGGCTTTTGGTGGCTACAGAGGTCCCGGATCTATCAGCCTTTCTCTAAAAGAGCCCTAGCAGTGGGTAGCTCCCGGCAATGTACCACTACAATAAATGAGGCCTGAATCCAAAGCTCCCCAGCCCTCGTTCTCAAATCGCATTTGATGAATTTCTCGTCCGTAAACTCCCGATGCGAGACCCGTATCCTGGGCACAACATTTCACAACCCCAAAGGGGCTTTGGTGAAGATTCTGACTCAGGTGGGGGCCGTCCGTAACGAAAATGCTGCATTGTGGCGAATTTACCAGGCAGCAGGGGGTTGGGATTTGAGGATGCGAGGGTTGTTGGTTTGGGGGGGCAATATGGGTCTAGGCCCTCACAGATGGGGCCAGGCGCCTGCAGACCTCAAGCCTTCTGCACTTGGCTGTACACAGCTTGTTGCTTGGAAACCCACTTTCCAGTCCATTCCAGGGTGGATGTAGCTTGCAGAAGGCAGATCCCAGCACCATAGTGGTTGTGACATGGGATTCCGAAAGGTTGTTTCCGATTTGAGCGTGCTGCATTAGGCATGGTTTCCATTGCTAGGTCGGAAACAGTTGAGCTTCATTCCAGCATGCAACTGGGCGACCCGCAGGTGTGTTGATGCCCCGAAGCCTGTCCTATAGTTAGGGAATAAGGGAAGAGAATCCCTGTACAACCCCTACGTAGTAAATTCCCTTATTCCCTACTAAGAACTAGTATGTATAGGCAATCCTTTTCAAACTAAGCTGCGCCGCAGAGCAGTCCCAAATGGGATATGTTCTGCCCGCCTCAGATTATGACTAGTATCCCCCGGGTCAAGGTCTAGGGTTTAGGGTTTAGGGCTTCTGCTCTCATCATCCCTCAATTTGGAATGTGACCACCCAAAGGACGCCACTATTGAGGAAACTGTGTCTCCTGGCTTTTGGATGCAGGCCCCCAACATCCTGTGAAGCCCTGGTCCACCCTAAACCCTTCTCGCCCTGTAAGGCCCCCCCCCCCCTGTAAGCCCTCTGAAAAGCCGCCTGGTTCACAGGTTTCCAAGGAGGTTACGCGATTGCACTGCGCCGTACCTCTCAAGGAGCTTGGCTTGTTATGGGATTTGAACTACAGGCTTCTGGGGTGTAAGATCTAAGGGCTTCAGGGTCCACGGGCATCATGGGCTGGTTTGAGATCTTGAGGGGTTCAATCTGGACATGCTTGCGATGAGCCAGAGAGGAGGCGGCATGGTGACCCTCAGCGGCTTGTTCTGAAATCGAACTTGGGGTCTTTCCCTGCAAAATGTTTTTATGTTGTGGTCAGGCACGTTTCAGCGTTGGGATTTTGATGGATTTTGGCTCCGTACATTCGCTGCCTTCCTGCAGCCGTACCTGGCTCCACTGAGTTTCAAGTTTTGAATTTTGGAGTGCATCCTCCTCAGAAAGCCTCCCAGATCGCGAATTTCACAGCCATGCGCTCTCATCCTCGATCTCTTTTGGTGTGTTGCTTGGCCCGCGATGTAATAAGCGCGACCTGCAACACGGGTACCAGCATTGTCTACGAAGGCTCATGTGGGACCCCGGCCGACACTGCCAGCTTCACCACAACGTCCTGCGCGGGCGCATGTTTCACTGAGTCCTTGAAGCAAGAGATCACACCTAATGGTGTTTGCAACGCGGTCTTTGTGGTTGCTGGCTGTGTACAGGCAGGCACGAAAGACTGTGCCACGCTGCAACAGGTCTATGACGCTATGGACCCGGCGGCCGGAAACTTTGGCTTCGGATGCCAGGAGTGCTCGACCGACGCCTGCAATCCCACAACAGCACTGAATTCGACGCAAGCGGCAGTAAGAGGTGGCGCAGCAGCGGCAAAGTGCCTTAGCGCAGCCTTGCTGCCGGGCACTTTGCTCTTCTGGAGCTTCTAGCTGTGATGGTCGAATATTGCAGTGGCCATGGCGAAAATTGCATGGTCAGTACAATTAAGAGTTTCCAATCATCTCGGACTTTCAAGCAGTCCTGATGGGACCGTTCCCGAAAGCCAGCCCGGATGAAGCTGTGCAGCAAGTGCAACATGTCATAACGGGCAGCAGTTTTAAATCCTGCTTTCGGACTTGCCGTTTTCAAGGCTTTGTCAACGCTGAGGCTGATGCTGCTGTACGCGCTGGATAAACTGTGGGCAGCTTCAACTCGTTTGCCACAACTAGTAGGATCCGCCTTTAAGGACACCGAACATCAAATCTCATGTCTTGGAACATGCTCCAATATGTGCATATGGGCATCAACGCGAGGAAGCGCCGTTCAAGAAATGGACGCCGCTTACAATGGAGGCCCGCTTGAGGTCCAGGGTTGAGGATTGCTGGGATCCTAGCGCACATTTTTTGTGTAAAGGCCGTAAGCCTGGACCATTTTCAATGCAAAAAGTGGACCCTCCAACATTATCTCCGTATCTTTGGACCATGGCTGCATTTTTGACAGTGACTTCCCATTTTGTAGCCCTGACACAAGGAAATGTCAGAGACTTCCCAATACGCTTACCTGGTTGGCGCGAAGCCGGATGACGCCCCCCGTAGGAGGCCTGAAAGCAGTATGCTGCCTCATTGTTGGCAGCTGTAAGTTTCAGGGAGGAGAATAGGAAAGGCGCAGCAGTTCGAATCACGTTCCACGTAATTCTGGTAAAAAAAGCAAAAGAATTTGAACCCCCCAAACACTGCATTGAAAGGCTCAGGGCGCTCCTCAAGCAACCAAAAGTTCGAGCCTAACCGTCCCGGCGTATCCCGCCTGTATATGTGCACATACAGCATCAAACCCATGTAATTCCCAAAAAAAGAACCCATTTGAGGCGGGTAAAGGCCTGGACTGGGCTGACTTTGACTACTGTGAAGATGCAAATGAATGGCCTGGAGCTTGGGAGGTTGAGAGATTCGGGTTTGGGCTAAAGGGTTTCAGGTTTGGGCTTCAGGGCACTTAAGCGTTTCTGGTTCATGCTATAGGACAAAGTTGGGTTCGTTTCTTCGTGAACATCGCGGCTTGGTGGAAGCGGTTCAGGGCGTTCAAAGGTTTTGCAAGGGCCTACGGAGAGAGCATGCTTCAGAAGGCTTTGTGTGGCATTAGCGGGCTTTGGTTCTTCACTTCCCGTCATGAAGATACAATGCTGGCATGCAAGCTAACATGTTTTACTGGTGTACCGAGTCGAGTCTTGATTTGGGGCTGACGGCTTGGAGTGTACCAGTGTAACGTTAAGGACCCGGGCTGGAGTCTAGAGTGGAATTAGGTGCTTCACTCGGCGGCCATGGAGCCCAGGACAGTTTCAAGGACGTCCCTACAGAAGCCTCAGGCTACATACGGATTTTTTCTTGCTTCTAGTGGGCTTCTGACAGAGTTCACCATCATTATCCGCATGCTTGCACAACTATTTGCGTCATTCGGGCTCGCATGCATTTCGCTTTGGTTTTGGTCTTTGTGCATTTTCCTCTTCCTCAGCATGCCGTTGCTGTCACGGATTTTGTGTTTCTTCCTTGCAGCCGAATCCTACCTTTTATCCTTTATTTGGGTTCTTATGGGGCAGAAGTGCGCGCTTCTGCCATTCGTGCCACGCATGTTCTAGAGACTCTTGGATTTAGCAATTTAGCGTTTGTGCTTATCAGAATGATCGACTAAAAAGCCACCGCCACAGGTTTTGGCCACCACCCATGATGGTAGGGAGCCTCCACAGAGGATGCGCGATCAACTGCATGACAAGTCTTCAAACCTTTGCGAGTGACTAAGTGACCAGCGCCGCCACAGTTCCAGCTCTTGTAGGAGTCCCAGCACTTATGTCCTGAACCTGTAGAATTGTTTCCAAACACTGGGTCCCAGGATTTTCTGAGCGGACCTGACGAATCCAAAGTAGGATCCCTGACCCCCTGAAGCTCATGAATCTCACGCAGTGTTCGCGAGGCTCTTGTTCCATGCCAGCATTCCCGAGGCAGCCTGAGTTGGATCCAAGCAGGGGTTCTTCACCGAAGCTGTTTCATACCCAAAGGGCAGGATCTCCATGCGCAAGCCACTGGGAAACATTCCAAATGTGGGAAATCACCGTTTGCAGTTCCAGGGGCTCAGACTTTGATTCTATGGGCATTTCTCGAAAGTATCGGTCTCTTTGCAGGCCCCTAGATTCATGATGCCATGATCTACAAAAACCCAACGGAGACCCCTGCCTGTCGAGGAACAGCTTGAGTCAAGATGTCGCCGCCTCACCTGTTGAACTGCACTCAAACACAAAACTCAACACTCACCAATCCCGAGCCCAAACCCCTAAACCCTATTTAGGTTTGAGGGGCCTTGAAGCCAAAACCGTGTACCCAGACAGCTTTCAGCGCGAGGCACTGAACGCCATCTGCCGCAGCTTGGATCTTTGAGAGAGACAGTCTTCCAGAGAGCGAGCTGAAAAGGAAACAGACTGGTGACAGCAAGAGCTCAATCCCTAGAAGACCTAGAGCTCATTGTGTTTCAAGCTTCCTTCAGCCTTTCAACTGTTCAACACTAAGAGCGATAATAATAACAATAATAACAACAATACTAGCAATAGTAATAATAATTCATGGTACTAATAATGTAGATGTAAATGTAGATGTTGATGATGATGATGATGATGATGTAGTAGTAGTAGTAGTAGTAGTAGTAAAAATAATGTAGTAGTGAAAATAATGTAGTAGCAGTAGAAGTAGAAGTAGTAGTAGTAGTAGTAGTAGCAGCAGTAGTAGTAGTAGTAGTAGTAGTAGTAGCAGTCGCAGCAGCAGTAGCAGTAGCAGCAGTAATATTAACAGTGCTTATAGCTAATTTCATACTGAGGTTATGACAATGAATTAATTGATAGCACTAGTTTAAATCCCAGGTACTGGGTTCACCATGGCCAAGCTTGGCTCTGGTGGGACAACGGGCGGAGGCGGCCTCTATGGCGATGGTTCAATGGCAGCACCAAAGGAGTCATCATAATTAGTCAGGGTTTAGGGTTTTAGGGTGTAGGATTTCGGATTTAGGGTTTAGGGACAACAGCAGTAAGAATCATGATAGTAGTACCTGCCCCTTGAATCCCTCAGGTCTCCGGCACTAGGAATCATAGGAGCCACTGGGTGCAGGTGCAGTGCACAATGACGGAATGTGTCAGGTATGCTTTAAAATATTGCGATCACTATTGCGATCAGGTGGTCTGGACTAAAGAGCGTACTCTTCCAGATTCATGTTGACACATGAACGTGGACGGGCTTATAGGCTTTTAGTATGAACAATTTCTTCGGCTTATACCGGCTGATGTTCAAGGTTCATGAGAGTGGGCCCTGGACCACCGGGCGGCAAATGCCCTTTATCAGGTCTTCTCCAGCAGAGGTCTTGTAGTATGCGTGCGGGAGCCTCAACGGATCTCTTCTTGTTTCTTGCCTCTGTTTGCTCTTGAAGATGCTTCAGTGGAAAGGTCACAGACTAGTAGCCTGGAAGCACGAGGGCCAAAAGGCAAAATAAAACTTCACATATGGCTTCAGAAACAGTCCCATCCTGGAAGACTCCCATATGCTAGAAAAGCACTGGGAAAAAGATACGCTCCATGTGAGCGTAGCTGGTGTGCACAAGAAAGTGGCCGAGTTCAGTCGATTGCTTTGCTCTGTGAGTACATATGCGGTCTCACCAGCGTTCTGTGGTGTGTAGCATTGATCGCGCAACAGCCAAGGCACCTACTTTGCCGATTCCATCACCAAGGCAGATGAGTACGCTCGGCGGAAGGCAAGGCGCTCTGCTTAAGGGGTGCCTTTTTAGACATGTTCTTGTCCTTCTTACCAGTGCTATTCTTGTTGCGCATCTTGTTTCGAGTAAGAGTGATGACGTACAAAGCAACACTGAAGGCAGAGTATGATGACGATGGTGAAGAAGATGATTATGGGGCATTGATGACTGTCATGTCTGAGTAGTCCAGCAGATATCACCGTCTTTATTCTCGCAATCACTGTCATGATGGCGATTCTGATCATGCCTCCTGAAGCTGCTACAGATGCGGTACTGAAAGTCTAGTAGGGTCTCCTGGGGTCCACGTGGCGACCCGTGCTCGGAAAGTCAGCTATGCTTCCAGCACAACATTGCTACAGTAATGAACCGCCGTCATAACGGCGGGGCTTCTTCAGACGATTTTAACCATCTCTTGGTACAAGAGCGCACTCCTTTTGCCTGACACCCCAGCGCTCTCCAGTCTTCAGCAAGAACCTGCAACACCTTTGCAACTCCAGTTTGTAGGTCTTCTAGACGTTCAGGCAAAAACTACAAGGAAGGGAGGGAGCTTCACACTTTTCTTTGGCACCCTCGACACCAAGCTGAAGCCTGATCAGGTGGAGAAAGGTGCCTTTGCCGGATGTCGGGCTGCGGCACTTTGCCGGGTGCGCTATTTTTCGTGGGACAGGGAGGTATTAGTGTTCTGTCTGGTGTTGAGAGTTAGTGCCTGTACTTTGAAATGCATGCGCGTATGACCTCGATTTTTGAAACAGGAATCTTGGCCCTCGGTTTCTCTGCACGTGAGACTTTCGTGCCCTGCTTTTGTGCAGTGTCGTCAGGTACTGGGTGGACGGCATTTCTATATGGACAAGGCGCGTACGAAGAGTGTGTCATTGTATTTCCAGCACCCCCCCACCCCAGACATCTGACTTTCCAGGAACCCAAACCCTAAACCCTAAACCCTAAACCTGAACCCCTAAACCCTAACCAGGGGTGTATCTTACACAGCCAGGAGGCTGTCCTCAAGCTCTTTCAGTTGCTCTCTGAGCCTGATTAGGGGGGTGGAGGCGTTGTGATGTTCGCCCCCCCCCCCCCCCGCCCCCGATCGAAGGCATGAAAATTCCAGTATGTTGTAGTGATGATTCAACCTTTGTAAAGGGTTTTGGATTATCCCTGGATATATGGCCATGCATGATGAGATACTTCTGAAAGGACGTGATGGAAAAGGACAAGCCCAAATTCGCCAAGAGAGCAGGGGACCCAGGGAATGCTTCTTACCCGAATTGCAACGCGAGTCCTTGCTGGGGGAGGAACTTTGTGGTTGCAGTCTCTTGGTAGCCCTATATACTTATATACTAATGGTGATGATAATGGTAATAATCTAGTCTGTTGAGAAGCACCAAGTGAACGAATGAATTCTCAGGCTTGTCTTGCATCAGCAACCCAGCCTCCACCAGTCAAATGCCCTTGACACAAAAGTTCCAGGTCTAAAGCTGGGGCATCAGACTACATGATCTGGTGAGGGAGCCCCACGTTCTGTGTGTTCATGTTCTTCTTGAATTCATGGTGTCTTGCGCCTGCATTGATCTGAAATGGAGGGAGCTTGATTCTTGGCTGGAGTTACATTCAGGTCCACCCTGCATTCTACAGGCTAAAGGTTTTCCTTCATGCCACTCACTCCTGCTTAGCAATGTGACGTTCCTGAGGTCTTGAGGCCCTGCTGTCGCACCTCGCCCCCGCACCCCAAACTCCAAGCTGTCCGCAACCCGAACTTTCCTCAGGTGCTCGAAGGACACTACAACAGCACTGTGGGAGACCGATTGAAGGTGAAGAACACCTTCAGGCCGGTTCAGAGTGATTCTAGGTTTGCTCATAGGAAGTCAGAACTAGATTGGGAGATCCCCCTGGCACTGTCGCAATGCGCTATCCATTTCAGAAGAACAATTCAACATGAGGGTATGGAGGAGTCTGCTCGGTCTTTGATGCTGGCATCTGGAGGTTACAGGTGTCTGTTGTGCGCAGCCTCCATCCTCGTGTTGGGAGGATATAGGATGTTTCGGTTTTCTGACATAGTAGTTCCAGCCTTCACGAGCAGTCGGCGCACCCGGATCAGCGGCTGACCAGGTTTGATCAAACTTTGGAATCAAAACCAGGTTCCAATCCTTGTTGGGCTCGAGCAGCTGCAGGGCTTCATCCAAGTTGTTTTCTTATCAGTCAAGACAAGGTCAGAACCGAAGCCTCACTCATGAGTGGATTCAAGAACAGTTTCCATCCCAGTGCCAATTCACCGGCCAATCATGTTGACACTTGATGAAGCATAGCCGCCAGCCGGGGCGTAAACCAGGTGTTTGAGATTGTGTGTTATTCTGGTAAGTAGTTTGGATGCAAACAGCCCAACCGCTGGCCCAAAATCCATGAATATCTTTTGTTGGGAAAACCAGGGAGTATGTGGCCTACGATGCAGCGGCAACGTACATGGAGCCTTGACTGCAAAGTGGCTGGGCTTCGTATCCAAGGTTGCGGGCTTTGGGTTGGAGTTAGAGTGATGGCCACGAGGACACAAAGGGCCACAATTTCAGATGAGTATCCGCTTGTTCTTTGACTTGGGCACTCCACCTTGTGTTGATGTAGAGTTCGACCTGTGATCTCCCAGCCTTCCTGAATATGGGAGTTGCATCTACACATGAGCAGGTATAAGGTCACCCTCGATACTCTATATCAGGCCTCCAGGCAGATTGCTGACTCGCAGGTTCAGAAACGTGGTCGAGAGTAGTAGAATCAGTAGAAGGAGGTTCTGATGAAGGTTGACCTGCCTTGGTACACCAAAACCGAAACACGCTAAACAAGATCTTGAAACATTGCACTGAACATTCTAGCGTGGCCGCTAAAACACCTTAGCAGCAAGCCCTTGACCCCAGGAGTACATCATCTACTACCGGCGCAAAGGCTGCCGGCTCACTGTCCTCCAAGTGCAGTGTAGGTCTGTGCTACTGGCCAAGTGACGGGTTTTGGGGTTTACGTAATGTGCTCTTGTCCCTCAGCCAACGGCTTTGACCTAAAGGGCCTTTTCAAATTGTCGTCGGATGTACCGCCAAAAGTCACGGCAAATTTCGTTTTATGGGGTGATCACGCCAAGTCTGCTTCCTTATGCTCAGGACTGCCCTGGGTAAATCCTGGGCTTATGGATTAGCGTTGGAAAATGGATGCTTCCGGGTGTAATGGAGGCTAACCATGAGTTGTCTTGTCTTTATACACCCATGTAAGTATCGAGCTCTTTTCCGGCTTGAACTTCGCCGTCCCTGTCGCTTGGTTCATGAGCGCACTTTTCATCATGCTCAGAACCCTTTGTTGCGTGCTGTAAGATTCCCCTTTGCTACACCAGCAAGAAGAAATAAGTGATTGGCCCATGAGGTGTGCCTGCCAAGCACGAGTGAGGGCAAGCCTCTCGCGCTTCTGCGGGCCACCGGTGCCAGGGATGAGAAATGGAGTAAAGTAGGAATAACAATAATAACAAGTAACTGCTGTTGTATAGTCATATTGGGGGAGAACGATTAGTGCCACCCTGTCTGGATGTGTACAGTCCAGGATGGTGCTGTCTCAAGCACATCAAAGTCTTAGGGCGTTCCAAATGGAAAGCCTGCTGAGACGGCTGTTGGACCCCTCACGCTTTACTGGTTTATGGTAAGCCTTAAGCTGTTATGCCTTGAATGTTACATTCAGCATGACACTGGGGACTCAAGAGAGCTTTATGGGTCCAACGGTTCATCCTGAATCATTCCAGATGCGGGTCATTTAGACTCCAGACTGCCAAGGTGTGCGTGCAAAGCAGATAGCAGCTGCCAGATCATTTAGCTCAGCATCGCAATTCCTGTTCCTTCAGTCTCAAAAACCGTACTTATTTTGCAAACCACCATTCATTGCTCTGAAGACATTCATCCTTGCTGCTAGGGCCCCGGAATCTTGCATCAAGGCAGCATGCGCCTGTGCAGTTGGAGCTGATGCATTCATCACATCGCTTTGCTGAGAAAAGGTGCTCCAGGTTTTGGGCGCTCAGGGCAGGGGTGGTACCGTTGTCCATGGTTCAAGCTTCTCAGGTAATGTCGGATCCGCACCTCACTCACTGTACGTACCACAAGCTCAGACAAGTGAATCTATATCCTTGAACCTCAGCTGTGCAGACAGGTCAGTAAACACTTTCGGTTCTGGTAGGGTGTGGAATCTGCTTCTTTCAGAGGCCTTTCACTGCCTGCCTGCGCGAGGAGGAATAACCAAGTTCTGTACGTCAATGGCAAGAGTATTGGGCCCAGCATGGTCAAAGGCTCCTAGGTCAGGCTGGCATTGGGGGTTATATAGGGATTATAGAGGTTATAGGGGACATATAGGGATGATAGGGATAGATTGCGGTTCTATATAGACAATGGAAAAGGAAACGGAAACTACAATTTA